TATCCAAGTATCCCAGACTACCTGGAGTCAGTATCCCATACAAACACATGCATGTCGTGAGCATGCATTAAAAGGGAAATGAAAGGACAATGCTTCTCTGCATAAATGCATTAATGATATAAAGAAAATGACTAAAAAAGTGAGCTAAGTGTTTACCACTGTGAGTACTAACTGTAACAATTTGTTGTTCTACTGCACTTACATTCTTGTATAGAAGAATATTTGTACATTTTCTATTACTTTTACTTTTACTCCACTGTATTCCAGAGAGCAATATGTAACTTAACCCCACTGCATCAATATCTGACTTCAGTTACTGTGTACTGTTCTTTTAAGATGAACAGTTCACATACAAAACAGTATGATCTGCTTATAAAATGTGATTATCAGTAAAACTACCCAATCAAAAACTAATTTGACTACAACAATAAACTTCCATGTTGATGTATCAGTATTAAAAATCCAATAATTTGATATTTTAAGTAATGTTGCTTATTCTGTACTTATAATTAAGCAAAATTTGCGGAATATTTTAAACTGACTATTGTTATTTTTACTTAAATAAAATATCTCAATACATCTACCACACCGATTATTACAGGACTATATTTTGAATCCTTCAAACCAGGGGCGGAGCCACACATTGTTAACATTCAGGGCTTAGCCCCAATTTAAGTCGATTTTTCAGGGACATGACTTTAATATTTATAATTTTAGCCTGTTATTTTTCCAGATGCTTTGAGGATGGCGAGCACTATATCATAATCATGGATGTGCATTTAAAAGAGAATCCAACCTTTTTTAAAGAAATCACAATTTGTTATTCCTGTGGCCCAAACAAACTGGTGAATATTTGTGAACACGCTGCACTCTCCTCTAAATGTAAGAAAACCCAAAGGAGAACCTTAAAATGTGCTATGTTATCCCGGTTTGCTTCTATAAACAATGAATGTGGCTCTGAATGCTGTGAGGCCTTAAAATGTTTGTCTAATTTCTCAAACCAAAATGAGTGTTTTATATCTTAAGCCTTATTGTCCAATTAAAAAATCTAGAAGAACCTGTTAGGAAGTACACTACACAAGCTACTGTAGATTATAGGGTTAGTGAGGTAACACATTTCTCACAGTGGCTCAAAGTAATTTCAGCTATATAACCTCAGTACACTGACTGATGAAAACAAGCCTTTGACTTTTTTAGAATATTGACATTTGCAAGTTATTACTTCCAGAGTCTGTTTTTTACTGTATTAGTTCATCATTTGCACTCATTAGCTCTTAATGTAGGGGATTCAATTAAAAAGTGCATTCAACATTTTCATTTGTCAACTTAAAGGAAGATTCAAAATTCATAAGCTGCAGCTAAAAGCCATGAACTCCAGCGGGAAGTGAAGGTAAAAGTCCAACAGCAGCTGTGTACAACATACTAATAAATAATAATCACAACATTCATAAACATACAGTTCATTCATTTGAAAGCAATTTTAACTAAATAAAAAGATTAAATGTCACGTTATTCCCATGCCAAAGGACAGTAAAGTCTGTATTATCTGTCTTAAAGCTAGAAATCAGAGAATCCCCAAATCCTCCAAAGACAACACAAGGGCACTGACTTTGTTCTGTGTCAACAGTTGTAATGTAATCCATTAAAATATCATTAAATGTCATAAGTGACAAATGAAAATGTTGAATGCACTTTTTAATTGAATCCCCTACATTAAGAGCTAATGAGTGCAAATGATGAACTAATACAGTAGAAAAACAGACTCTGGAAGTATAAACTTGCAAATGTCATATTCTAAAAAAGTCAAAGGCTTGTTTTCATCAGTCAGTGTACTGAGGTTATATAGCTGAAATTACTTTGAGCCACTGTGAGAAATGTGTTACCTCACTAACCCTATAATCTACAGTAGCTGTGTAGTGTACCTCCTAACAGGTCTCTTCTAGATTTTTAATTGGACATAAGGTTTAAGATATAAAACACTCATTTTGGTTTGAGAAATTAGACAAACATTTTAAGGCCTCACAGCATCAGAGCCACATTCATTGTTATAGAGCAAACCGGGATAACATAGCACATTTTAAGGTTCTCCTTTTGGTTTCTTACTTTAGAGGAGAGTGCAGCGTGTTCACAAATATTCACCAGTTTGTTCTGGGCCACAGGAATAACAAATGTGATTTCTTAAAAAAGGTTGGATTCTCTTTTAAATGCACAATCCATGATTATGATATAGTGCTCCATCCTCAAAGCATCTGGAAAAATAACAGGCTAAAATTATAAATATTAAAGTCATGTCCCCTGAAAATCGACTTAAATTGGGGCTAAGCCCTGAATGTTAACAATGTGTGGCTCCGCCCCTGGTTTGAAGGATTCAAAATATAGTCCTGTAATAATCGGTGGTGGTAGATGTATTGAGATATTTTATTTAAGTAAAAATAACAATAGATCAGTTTAAAAATATTCCCGCAATTTTGCTTAATTATAAGTACAGAATAAGCAACATTTACTTAAAATATCAAATTATTGGATTTTTAATACTGATACATCAACATGGAAGTTTATTGTTGTAGTCAAATTAGTTTTTGATTGGGTAGTTTTACTGATAATCACATTTTATAAGCAGATCATACTGTTTTGTATGTGAACTGTTCATCTTAAAAGAACAGTACACAGTAACTGAAGTCAGATATTGATGCAGTGGGGTAATAAGTACAATATTGCTCTCTGGAATACAGTGGAGTAAAAGTAAAAGTAATAGAAAATGTACAAATATTCTTCTATACAAGAATGTAAGTGCAGTAGAACAAACAAATTGTTACTAGTTAGTACTCACCAGTGGTAAAACACTTAGCTCACTTTTTAGTCATTTTCTTTATATCATTAATGCATTTATGCAAGAAGCATTGTCCTTTCATTTCCCTTTTAATCATGCTCACACATGCATGTGTTTGTATGGGATACTGACCAGGTAGGCTGGGATACTTGGATATTTCCACTTTATTCTCATAATCATACTTCACTACATTTCAGCGGCAAATATTGCACTTTTTGCTCCACAAATTCTAATTTGACATTTATACTTGCTTTGCTAATTAAAACTGTACATACGAAATCAGCGATGAGCATATAAGACGACTCATTACAAATGAAATGACCCAACAGTAGATAGGAGTTCAAATTAGCTTCACCTTAACACAATACAATAAATGATAGTGGCCATTCTTTTACAGAAGTACTTTTACCTTTGATACTGTAAATACATTCTGCTGATTATACTTAATGTACTTTTACTTAAGTAAAATTTAGACTGTGACATCTACCTGAGCATTTTACACTGTGGTATTTCTACTTTTACTTAAGTGAAGAAAATGAAGGTCTGAATGCTTCTTCTGCCACTGATCTCCAACCTTTTTCTTTGACTTTACACTCTATTTTGTGCCTATTGAGAACCTTTTTTAAGTATAGTTCAATAATATGGAACTTTAACAATCTCATGTGGATTTCATTTGGGGTTTCTAATTGGGTTTCCATATAAGATAGCTCTGATTTTTCTGTATGTTAAGTTGAGCAGCTCAAAAAGTTCAATTATTAAAAGTTTGAGTCGTTTTCTTTTTCTATTTTGTCTCTTTTAGCACATGTTCACCAGTGTTGCAACAGTTCACCCACGTAATGTCATATCACATAATGTTAGAACATAAAATAAATAGACTTAGCCTATGGAAGCACTTTTGAGAGTTACAGAGAAAAAAAAAATGGCACCATGAGTGTTTGGGCATGCAGCCTGAACTGACCTTTGCATTTCTTGAATCATACAGTATATCTGCCTGACTGCTGAACCCTCCAGCGGATTGCAAACTGCCGAATCACAAACTCTCTCTGAAAAAGGCAATGGACTTGTCAACACCTTGCAGCATTATGATTGAATTATTTTTTTATTTCTTTAATACACACAGCATCAGCAGTGAACCTCTTTGGACATGCCTTCTCTCACACACCACGTTTCTTTCTTCAGCAGATCATGACATAGCATTTACTTCTTGGATCAGTGGTCTTCAGAAATAAGGGAACTACTGATTGGATAGAAAAAAAACAACATCAAAAGGTGGAGGTGTAAAAGACGAGTGGATCAGGGACAAGAGTTAGAAGAGTATAAGGATTTTGGATTGTCTTGCACATGTTGCAGATTGTCCCAAAGATGTTATTTGATGTGAAGATCTCCATTTGCGCCATTGACTCTATTTCCACTGCAAGGAAACAAGAGAAACTAGTGAAAATTGAACCTGAGCAGATGAACTATGTTAAGATATAAACAACCAAAACACTTACTTGTGGACAAAGTTGTGGTCAAGCAAAGGGATTTCCAAAAGGATCCCCAAAAGCAGCTGTTGAACCAGAGTTCTGACCAACAGCTGTAGTCTGCTGTAAGAAAAAAAAAAAGACCAAAATTACAAATAATTCTGTGAGCTGCTTGATACGGTGTGAATTTGTGTCTATGTGTGAATCTCTGTACCATAGTTACAGGTGGCACTCCAAACAGACTGGAATTTGGGGCCCCAAATGCTTCATCAAACTTGTCCTGATTGAGGCCGTGTCCCTGGGCCGGAGCTACGTTGTTTGCGACGGGAGCAGAGGAGAAGGCGCTGTCGAGGAGGCCGGGGTTAAAGCTTGGAGCAGGGGCTGCAGCTGGAGCAGGAGCGAGACTGCGGACATCTAAACAGAGAGATTACGAGAAGACGAAATTAGTTGACAAATCTCAGAGTCAAACACACATCAACTTGCACAGTTTATCTCCACGCATTATGCAGCTGGTTTACCGTTGACTGCTGGCATTTGATTGATATCAAAGTCATCGTGATCTGCGACATCCTGAACCAGGCCCACTTTATTGGAAAAGTACTGATCGAACGCCCCTGCTTCACTGCTGCTGGGGTCCGGAGCAGAGTTGGACACGAGCTCGCCTTTCCTCGCTGGGATGGCTGGAGGCTTGGCAATCTGGAAGTCCTTGAACATGTCTTTTCCAGTCTTCTTCTCCTTATCCCCAAGAGGGTCCAAAGCTGTGAAGGCACTGTTCTCTACCTTTGGAGGGGCCTCTTTAGCAGGTGGCCTAGGTGGGGGGCGTGAAGGACCGTGCTGGTCACCCATTGCAGAGAACGCGCCCGCATGGAAAGGATTGGTCATTGCGGGCTGACCCCAACCTGGAGCGCCAACTGGCACAGTTGGTGGAGGCTGGCCCCAGGCGTTAGGCGGAACGCCAAACTGAGGTGGCATCTGCTGGCCCCAGGCTGTGGGAGGTATGGGTAGACCACCAAAGGCAGAGGGCTGTGGGAAGTTGGGCATAGGGCCTGGGGATGTCACTCCTGGCATAGGAAACATGGAGGGTGCAGTGGTGGAGGCTCCCCACATGCCTGCAGCAGGGATACTTGTGGTAGCTGGAGGACCTAACTGAAGGTTCCCTGAATATGAAAAAAATTGAACGTGGAAGCTTAAAGGGAATGAAACATAAAGCCTGAAAAACATATGTGCATCAGAGACAGAGATCCTCTATTGTGTATTACCCAGAGCAGCTATGGAGGCGGGAGCAGAGCTGGCTGGTGTACTGTTGAAAAAGTCATTTGGTGCAGATGATCCCTCAGTTTGACCAGGAGCAGCAAACAGCTCTGCTCCAAACAGATCACTTGATGTCGACTAGTCACAAAAAATAAAACAAAAATATGAAGTAACGTTGCAAACACTGACATCATTTTATACACGAATACTCATAAACTACAGCTACAAACGATTTACTATACTTATCTTTGTCAGAAATAAAAACTATTTACCTGAACACTGATATATATATATATATATATATGTATATATGCATGCTTCTCCACTTACCAGTGCTGTTATCACTGTAGCATGAATGTTAGAAAATTGATTATGAGCAGAGATGACAAAGGGTGAGATTGATTATTCTGCAGCACAGTCAAAGTGTCATTTACCAAAGCCAGTTAGAGAAGCTTGTGCATGCATAAAGGACAGAACGGATCCAAACACCAAGATCTTAGCCGCATGTCACCATTAAAGGACTTGCATCTTATGTAAACCCAACGCAGCCTCTAGCATATCCTGTCAGACACTAATGCATAACCCAAATGCTCAGAGAGGAAGATGTTAGGCACTAGTTATACTAGCTCTGGAAAAATGTGCAGAAACCCTATTTTTAAAAATGCATCTCACATGCAACTCTACTGTGATTTATCTGGCCTTAGAATTTCACCTTTGCACTCCTTCGACCTCGTCCGGCCTTAGAGCTCTGCGGAGGCGGACTTATGACTACTGAATCCTTGCTATGAGTCACAGGGGGTTGTGGGTGATGACTTGTGCCGTTAGTAACAGGGGAAGTTGTCAAAGATGAGTCAAAAAATGGGTTTTTGGTTGAGAGAACTGCTCCAGAATCATTTCCGTCCATCATGGTAGTTGTGCTGCCTTGAGATATTTTGCCCCCTAGTGGCCATTGTCCATTACTGAGAGCAAGGATCATGGTCTTACTGGTTAACCCATTCATCTGCTGACTCAGGTGTTCAGAGTTTCCATTCAAACCACCATTAATAATTGTCTTACTAGTGCTGCCAGCAGTGCTGTTTAGGTGATTGGTGGCGAGGAAGATCTGTGAATTATTGAGTGCAGACCGAGTGGGCGATTTAGAAAGGGGGTCATCTCTGAAAGGGTCACTGTCTGGTGTTGGAAAGTAGCCAAATGTCGAGGCAAAGGGGTTCTCTGTCTGGGGAGATGCCCTACGGTCAGGGGCACAGGAAGTTACAAAGGAGCTTCCCTTTATGCAATTCTGATTGCTGTCAACTTCAGCGGAAAAGTCCAGCAAGAGAATATCATTAGAGCCCTGGTTAACATGAGAGGGACAGTGGGAGAGAAAAAAAGATTTATGAATCACTTCTGCAACAGGAGATAAACATATGTGTTAAACACAATGAAAAATGAATCACATGGTGTGAGAAGATGTGACAATTTAAAGCTGCTACCTGTAGAATATTTACCTCAAACTGTCACTGTCATATCAAACTCGATGCTCCATCTTTCAACATGGAAAATTAAGTTGTTACTAAATTCTCATTTGCCTTCAAAAACAGCAAGGTAGTATAAATATGCTATAGTCAGCACTAGCTACTGGACCTAAGACTCAAGCTGGTGAGTCGTCTCACGTCAGTGATATAAACATTACCAATATTGACCTCTAGGGGTCACCAGAGTCAACAAGAAAAGTCTACTTGTAGCAGCTTTAAAGTTGTGATTAACAATGAGATTGGTAAACATGAAGCATGAACTCAATTCTTAAAAGACTTTTGCATTAAGCCTAAAATTGACAATCCAAACAATTAGATGCACAAATAAATAATAAAAACACAAAACGATAGTCTTTTTAGAATTGAGTTCACACACTCACACACACACACACACACACACACACACACACACACACACACACACACACACACACACACAATGATCTGGGTGGTGCTGAGGTTAAGTGGAGCAATTTTTTTTCCTTACAAACACACGAAATCAGATCTTAGAAACATATTTTTGTCAAGAGGGAGCGTGTAGCAAGCCAGATTGATATTATTGCACTTGCTGTATCAATATTAATACTTATTTGTTTGCCAACAAGAGTTTAGAGGGGACACTGCAGAAAACGCCTACTGCAATTATTAAGATGTATAAAATGTTAAGTATAATAGTGTAAATACCCAGCTAACCAAGTTTAATTCCACTACGTGGTCCAGATAAAGGGAACATTTGACACTATGGCACCACACTTACATTTGGAGCCTGGATGTCTGGGGGGGTCGACATGGCCCCAAAAAGGTCAAGCTGTTCCACTGGCTGGATGTCAAAAAAGAAACAGAAACATACTGTATTTATCCAGCTACTATAAGCTCTATAGCAGAGATATTTTATTCAATGTTAGGTTCAAAACAAAGGAGGGATTCTTACTTGGGCAGTTTTTACTGCACCGTCCATGTTTAGCAAGGCATCGTTTCCATTCTGCAAATAGAAAAAGAGAAGGTTGAAGAAAGGGAGAGAGAAAGTGTTTGAAGAAAACAAGTGCTTTCCAAGTGCTTACCTCAACTACCACAGCGCCGTTTTCAGCCTGTAAACAGAGGTAGACTGTTAATGATTACACTTATTTTCTTAATTTCCTGAAGGCATGTGTCATTTCACATCATTTGAATGGAATGTCTCGAGATGCGATTCCTTGAGAGAGCACAGAGAGGCAGTGTTGACATTCATGAGCTACACACAGTGTGTACCCTGTCAAACGTCCCAGATGACCAAATGCTTTTCTTTCAGAAAGAAAATATTCTCACTGTAAGTTTAAAAAAGAAAAAAAGAAAAACTTTTTTCCAGTCATTTACCTTCTGTGAGGCCTCTGCCTCTTTCTTCCTTATGTTGAAGATGACCTGGAAGAGATCTTTCAGGTCAATGACCAGGGGCTCTGCCTGCATGGAGGCAAAAAGACAGCACGTTCTCAATGTCCATGTTATGCATGCGGGTTTATGGTATTAACAGTATGAACGCCTGTGACAGAGAGTGTTGTTAGTGTTACCTGTTGTGCAGTCTTTATGGCAAAGAACTGATGCTGTCCTTCTGCTCCACACACGTATCCGAACGCCCTGTTATCCGTTACATCTCTGGCGATGAAGGAGATCTTATTCACCACATGCTCGTGTTCAATCACCTGAGTGACGAGGACAAAGGTTTTAATAAGATGCGATGAACTCCGGGTGGCTGATCTGACGGTAATGGAAGGAAACAGCAGAACTCACTCCTGATTTCTCATCAATGATCTTGATGCCCGACATGGAAATGTTGACCCAGATCCTCTGTTTGTGTTTGCCTTGGGACCGAGCAGCTACTGCCATTCCCTAGAGTGAAAAAAAATGTTTGTTTTGGTTTTTTTTTTTTTTACTTTTGTAAGTAAACAAAACATGACAAATGATTTAAAGCATTAGCATCTGTAAAGTTTATGCACTGTGTCGCCCTCTACAGTCAGGACTCATCCACAGCAAACATGATCTACTTGAGGAAGGCAGATAAGGACATTTTTCTCCAGATCTGTGTGACTAGACTATGAAACCAACCAAAAATATGGATATATTAATGAATAATTTTTTGAAAAACATTACAGATACCACCTTTAACATGACCTTTCTCCTAAACATGTTTCCTGAATCCCAAACCTAGCAGGGTAAAGTCTCAGGTCTCATGCTGCACCTTGAGTTTCATCATGGAGTCCTGGCACATCTTGTCTCCCCGGGCCTCTGGGACATCATCGATGCCAATCAGCTTCGCCTTGTACCTCACGCCGTCACCTTGAAACCTGCCCAGCAGGTACTCATCTGTCTTCTCTGCAACTGTAAAAAAAAAAAAAAGAAAAAATTCAAGAAAACTATGATTTGTGCCAAAAATAATCTAGAAAATAAATAAAGTCTTGATGAAGGAATGATCATGAGCATGTCTTCTTCCATCATTCACCTTTCTTCTTCTCTTTCTTGAACGGGACCTTGGATGTGGCTGTTGCAGGGGAGGCTGGAGGGCTGTTGGAGATCGAGCCTGTAGACGGGGAGGCGAGGCTGGGGTCGGCATGGACGGGCACGCTGTTCTCCACCTCTGCAGACATGGTGTGGAGTGAGCCTCACTGGACAAGTGGACAGTCGGGGGTAAAGCAGACGTGCAGCTCCGTGTTCGGGGGCAGCGAGGTCAACCGAGCAGATGACTCTCAACACCCACACATGCTTTAACTTTGTCTGGAGAAGTGAAGTGAGGTGAAGTGTTGCAGTGTGTGTGGTGTGAGGAAAAAAAAGAAGAAAAAAAAGAGGAAGATGAGCGGTTAACACTAACTCATTCCTGATGAAACGGCAAACAAGATATTGGGCAGTAAATGACCACAATTAAAATACTTTGTGACTTCTGGAGAGGTTTTGTAAAGTAGCTGCTGAAAGGATTTTTTGCACATTATAAACAATCATATTCTTTTAACAATCCACAGTAAACATTTACAACCACAGAGAAACCCGTCAGAGGGAGAAACGTAACAAGACATATGACCCATAAAACATCATGGCCTCATATGGACAAGAGCACGGAAAACTCGCGCACTTTAACCCAGCTTTACACATGCTGTGTCAGTTCAGGCCCGTAAAGGAGTAAATTATCCTAAAGATAAAGAAAGGCAGTGCTCACAGTCACCTCTTAAAAATGTACTGCAGTCCTTCCACTGACCTTTTTTATTTACTTAGGATGGAATAACTGGGTATCACTATAAATGTGCAGATGGACAAAGAAAAACACAATCACGCTGTCACATCATGTGATTTGTGACCCACATAAAAATCCAGTGAGCTGTGCAAGCTGTGGATCAGACTAGCAGCATGCTAGTCACACGTACCTGCATATCAACAATAACATCATCCATTTAAAGTGACAACAAACCGACACCAGTCGCTAATACCTCTGCACTTACTGTGCAGGCGACACAAGACGATGTCACATCACGGTGGATCTCAGCAGATGCCACAGCAGCTGATTTTCACCTACATCTCCTCAGCTATGTTAAGCGTAACAATTTACTCCTGTATGTAGATACATCACTATCACCATTTAGTCAATTAAGGAATCAGACAATCACAACAAAGTGCGAACAATCACATGCATTCAGCCAAAAGCCATGAAGGATGCCTGCTCTGCAAAACCAGCAGAATAAAACGCACACACGTCTCTGCGAGGGACATACATACCTTTAGGACAGCTTCCACGGGCTGCACTGACTACACTACCATCATAAAGAGGCTGTGAGTGCTGTAGGACAGACCAAAGGTTCAATGTGGGCAAAGGTTGAGCAATTACCTGAAGTTAATCTTACGCTAGCGAAGCAAAAGATCTCGTGATGCCCAGCTAAGCAACTATAAACGGATATTAGAGGCTTTGGAATGATCATTTACTCATGATGCTCTCAAAGCTGCCTATAAAAGCTGTCATTATACTTGATAAAATGGTGATGTGTAATTAGGGTAAAATGATCCTCAAAAATCAGAAGGCACCCGTGTGATCATGCAAATTCATAATTTCATCTAGAGACAGAAAGACGATCACCGTCTGGTCCTAGTTAGTGTTAATGATCAAACTGATCAGACAGGCAATTAGTTTGCTTCATAAAGGAAATGAGAGCTATACAGGATGAGATAACAGATGTGAACTTTCAGATCAGTGAGTGCATTCCACCTTAGTGCCAAAAGTTACCTGTCTATGAATCACATCTGACCATATCAGACCCTGACAAGTCAACAGAGGCTCAACAGAGAGGGTGCAAAGTTTGATGGAGAGTTGAGCATGTTTTTCTTATTCAAGAAAAATCATCTTTTCATTGCTGCTTGCGCGAGGCTTGCATCACAAGAGCTACTGTACAGCTGTAAAACAATAAAAGATTTACTTTATCTGCCAGTACCAATTTTAAAGTCAAGGGAACAAGCAAGGTATAATAAGCCCTTGTATGTTTGGTTCTCCATGGTGACATTTAAACTCCTACAAGGTTCACATGTTGTTCTTTGCTGCTGTGCAGGGAAGTGTGGAAAAACAAGACCTTAATCACTTGTTGATGCTCCGTTTACAAGAAGGATGACACATGATTGCACTTGTCCAGTAACTTGCGGCGGTGTCAGAGTCCCACTATAGCTGGAGAAGAAGGACTAATAAAAAGGGCAAAATGTCAGCTGTTCATTGCAGATTTGAGTTAAAGGTTTACATTTTAACAACTTTAACTCAAAAGGCAAGGCGCAGCTGCCAGATGAAGGAGAAGAGAAATCTGAAGCTTCTTTACAGCATCCACCGGTGTCACAACACAAAGAGCACTTATAGCCACAGAACACAAAGTGTAAAATTCATATTGGTCAGCAGAATAACTGCAGTGCAAAGGCAGAAATGTCACAATCCTGGTCCGTCAGGAAACGTAAACTACTGCACATCTGGAGGAAATCAGGGAATGACTCAGTCTGCAAGTGAATGAGATGGTGAAATACCACAGGCCAACTGTGAACAGAGAGCATGCAAACACTTCCATACAGAATGAAAACTGATTTGCTCTAAAACTATGGACGTGGATGGAACAAGCGAATTAAAAAATTAATGAAGTCATAATTGTCTCAAGATTAAAAGAGATGTGTGAATGGGTTAAAGCTACAGGGGACAGTGAGCTGAGGAGACAAATAACAGAGGCAGAAAACGGTTTGTTTTTCCATCAGTCGAGGCAGAAAAAGGACCAAGAACTGAGTCACAAATAAAACTAAACACTGGATGAAGTTTTACCTCCCTAAATGAGGCGCCATCGATGAAGTTTGTTTGAGAATGAAAACTGAACTTTCACCAACCGACTTGTTTTCATGATGGATTTTACAGGCGAACCCAGACAGCTTTTTTTTTCTCTCCTTTTTTTTTTTTTTTTTTAAAAAGTAAAACTAGTTTAAAACGTCAGCTTGTTGTGGTTTGATGGAGCCTTAATTAATGCACAGATGGAAATAACAGTTAACGACACAAAACCTGTTACCTGTGTGAAAGCGCGCAGAGAGATGATGAAATCTCTTGTTGAAACGGTGATCCTATTTTTTTTTTTTTTTTTTTTCGTTCCCGTGATGCCTCCGCGGCTCCGGTGCAAAATGAGTAAAATCAAACACAGCTTTTGGAAAACGAGCAGTAGTCAGATGTTTTCCGCTAAAAGCAGCGGACAGAAAGGAGAGACTGCTGCAAACTCCCAGTTTAACCCTTCACTGACGGACGGACCCAACGCACTGCTCATTTCAGCTGGGAGAGGGGCGGGCTCTTCACGTGGAAGAAAATATCACCAACTTAAGTGGGTCATGAAAAATGTTGCGTCCACAATAGATATCGTGTCATTGATTTTTTTTTTCGGTTACACAACAATGATGGCATGGTTTTTTTTTTTTTTTTAATCTCCACATCACTGCCACACTTTTATAAAGTTCAACAAGACAGTTATTATGACAAAAACAAACATGTTTAAGAGATTAAAATCACAGGTTTTGTGTCCTTAAATAAACTATATGTGAGATAAGTTGCTCCTAGTGATGAAACCACAGCGAACTATCACCTGATTCTGCAGTCTCCTTAAGTTTTATGGTGCTTTATGTTTAAGCTTTTTGTTTTGTTTTTTAGGGGCCCTTTAAATTACTATTTTTTCCACCACCACCACCACCCACCCCCACCCCCACCCCCCCTACTGGCATAGCATCGTTTTTAGCTGCAGTAATACTGCAAAAAAAAAGAAGTGCTACAACCATGTTCTTCTTACAGCCTGTATAGCAGACATGCCGTTACTATAGCTGGTGAACATATTTTAGCATTTAGCATATGGTGACCAGATGTCCCTGTTTTACGGGGGTTAAAAACAGACACCTAGCTTTGCGCTAGTTTTGGCCAACAGAGGGGGCTATAGCTGCTTGTTATACCAGCTGCAGAAATGACGCTAAAACAAACAAAATAGAGTCACTGATCAGATTTTTTTCTTTTCTTGTTGTCTCTAGGCAGAGAAAAGGTTAGCTGGCTCACTAATTGGTTAGGAGTTCATCACTGGGCAGGAAACTGACAAAAACAAACCTACCCAAACACCCCCAGCTGGAACTTGAAAAAGCAGTTTTCATGTTGGAAAAATTGAAGAAGTTGCCCAACAGTCTGCAATGGACTTCACATGACAATATTCACAACCTGGAATACTTTTATGAAAAATCCTTTTAAAACTTTTGATCTGTGGACGCTTACAAACTATAGGAATGTATATAATCAAGGAATAGGTAGACAATCGGACTTCATAACTGCTTCAAAGGTTGGGAGTCAGTCGTCCTTCACCATAGTTTATTACCATGTAACAGTGACCATTGTCAGAATGGTAACTTTTTTATTTCATACAAAAAAACATTGGATATTTTAATGACATATTGACTTCTGAACTGGAAGTATTTCAGAAGTATGTTCACCTTAGTTTAGTAGCTAAAGAGCTAGACATTTCCCTCAGGAGCAGAGGGAGAAACCCACATTTGAGATACATGACTCTAAATGAATGCTAATGTTGCATCAGCTGTATTTGTATTAAAACAACTAGCTAACAAGCCACATAAGCTTAAAATATGTCAGCGTTGTGTTTACAGCTTGTTTGTGCTGCACCCAAATGGCCAAGCATTCAGTTAGCGCAGCTTTAATTTTCCAGTAGGCCTACAGTGACTTCAGCATTAAGTCCCTGCTACCAAAACCTTTCGTATAAGAGTATAAATAAAAGTAGCACAGTTAGCCTTCATTGTTATTATTATTTAAAACAGCATATCTTTCAGTATAACAGTTGTTTGAGGTGAAATAATAAAAAGGGATTGGAAACTTTTTCTTTTGTTTTTGCTATGTAAGGAGACCGACTGGTCAGAAAATGGCAAAGGCTTATTGGCTGAGAGGAAGCAAGGATCTCTTGTTGCTCAACATTTGTGGCAGAATTCTTTTTTCTAACAGCGATAAACGAAAAAGCATGGAGATAATCCCACCTTCCTCTGCCAGCACTGGGGGTTCACAGCACTGGCTGACTAACAAATTGAAAAGCTAATTCGTATCACATGGGAGTAACAGCTAAACATTATGCACAATGAGCATCATAACTTGAAATGTAGACGGAGTGAGGGGAAAGAAGAGCCTAAGCCAGGGAGGAAAGCTCCACCGTTGCTGACACAGCACATTTTTTTCCTTTTTTTTTTTTGAAAGAGCAGGCACTACATTTCCTCTGCACTAGTCTTACTGCAATTACAGTAAACTGATGGCTGAAACTGGGTCATCAACTTCCTCAGTAAATGTCTATTTTGCCTGTGATACCATGTAGTGATTCAGCCATGTAATGACAGTTTTTGTATTTGCTGTTCTAAACACTTGAGTGCCAGTAAATGCTGTTCCCAGGAATAAAATCCTCAAGTCACACAGGAAGTGTTTTGTTTTGTGTTTGCAGAAGCATCAATGGACGTTTGTTTAGGATAATTAAGAGAAGAACTGGGTAGTTAGTATAAGCAGGGGGAGCCGCAATCAAAATTTCTTCAACAGAAAAAGCAAAACAATACAAATAAACAACTGGGAAAAGACCCGTCGATATGAAACTAGAGTAAAAATAAACGCTGAGATCTGCACCGACATGAGTAGTGATGTCAATGTGGCTTCTTCCTGTGAGATGGTCGGTTTCATTTCTGTAAATTTGTCTGTTTTAATTACTATGGTGAGCCATCGCCTCACAGTGAAAGTACATGTTACGACTTTTAAATGACTGACGGTAACTTAAACCCCAAGATAAACAAGATCTAACAGCCGATACAGTGGTGTCTGTTCAGCTCAGTCAAGTGAAAGCTTAACTGACGGATTAAAAGTATTGGTTTGTGATGATGTCACTGTCGGCACTGTGCCGTTTGCCATCTATCAGCATGTCTGAGATGTTCATGTCTGTATTAATCTTTACATTTCATATAAAAGTCCTCAACATTTCTGCATCTCTCACTCTCAAACAGGGTGACAAGAGCATGAATTGTTGAATTCACAGATGGAAACTCTGCCACCTTTTGCCAACCTGCTGGTGCCATAAAAACTGAAACCATCACAGAGCCAGCCAACCACTACATGAGAACAGCCAGATGTAACAATCACATCTGCACCTACTTCAACCCAGACCTTTGCCATACTCTATATAGTCATACTTATATAGTTCTTGCATCCAAAATCCCCAAAATCCCATCTAAAAATGTTAAAGAGGTGTACAGTATACTGTATGTTGTAGTTTTAGAGGTAAGAAATGGGAGAGAAAGGGACAGAGGAAGGACGTCCTTCCTGGCTTTGTATCCTGCGTTCTGCTGACAGAGGTTGGTTTTTTGGAGATGAGCCCCTCAGAAACCAGATAATTCACTGGATGAGAGTCTGTTTTCCCCTTCAGTCACCAACCAAGGGAATCATCTTTTACATAACCTTTTATTAAAAACTGAATGTCATCAGATTTCTTTACACTTGCAGAAGAAAAGCCAGAAAGAAATGCATATATCTGAGATCATGCAGATAGAATATACGCAGTGTTGTTTGGAATTTCACTTGTCATATATATATATATATATATATATATATATATATATATATATATATATGTTTGTGTCTGTGTGTGTGTGTGTGTGTGTGTATATATATATATTTATATATATATATAATATAAGACAATAATAAAATATGTTTTCTAGTAGTCACATTTGGAGATTGTGACGTGACGTGTTTCTCTGGTCCAGCTTCACTGTCCGATGACGTTGAGTTAAAATGATGGTTCCTTGTCCTCCTGAATGTGATTCATTGTCAGTTTAGATCAGTGGCACACCCAGCACAACCACACAAGTGAATACAGGAGGTCATGTTGAACATCTTTCTACTTAGTCATGTGGAATTTAGGCTCCTGGGGATTCTGGTAGAAAAGGGAAAGGTTTGGGATACCCTTTTTTTCGAGAAACAGACTACAGATGGAACAAGTCAGCACAGACGGTAACACATTAGAAGATTTATTTTTATGATAGAATGCTGACAGACACAATCTAATGGGAAGTGTCCTTTCCTTAGTTCATGACAGGAAGGCCGCAATCCAAACATCAAGCATTTAGGGCGTGAATCCTGGAACCAGCTGCCACCGCAGCCAGAACCTAAGATAGCCACTTATCTCCAGTCCATAATTGAGGTAGTCTTAGATTTTATCCTCTGTGTTCTTTTAACTCTCAGCTGCCAATACAGCTCTTGTCCATTTCAGTCTAAAAGCAGTAGCACAAGTGGTAGCTCGGGAAGCAACGTCATCATTCTGTTGCACATTACAACAAGTTTCTATGAGATGTTGTGTCTAAATTACAGTAAAACTGAGCAATATGCTGCTCCACAAGTGTGTCCACACAGTTCCACTCCCCCCACCCCCCACCCCCACCCCTTCAAAAAACAGGAAGTCTTTCTAGTCAGGAGAAATATTGGCCAAGCACCTTACCTACCCTCTGGTTTCCTGAGAAAGTTGGGAGGAAACTGCCGAACCTCATAAAAGCGGTGACTTCAGCACATATTTGTGCCTCTCCAGCGGGGCATGACCACATCGCCCCTAGACTACCCCCAGCTCTGCTTGCAGATAGAGAGAAACAACCAGAAGAGGACAGCCCCCAGATTGACTTTGGAGACATCAGGGAATAGTCCAACTGTGTTTATTTAAGTCAGCAGAACAATACTTGTCAAAATGCTGAATATTCTGGAACTCAACATCAGTTTTACTCCCTTGGACGGATAAAAGCAGACATTTGTCGACCTAAACGCTGCCAGATTTCTGTATCCATGAATAATGATTCACCTGATCATGAATGATTAGCTAATTTGATCGTAATCTTAATAAATCCTGAATTTAAATTCAATTTAAATGTTATCTCTGTACACTGAGAAGTAGTCTCTTTCGCTTTTTTTTTTGTAACTTATACACACTGCACTCCCTCCTTTTGAAGAACAAAGTAATGCAGACTCAGCAAAAGTCTCCCAGATCACATGACAGATCATTAGGTACAACAGTTTCAAACTTCCTGTACATTGTGCACGGCTTGTTTTGATCTATTTACAAAACAAAAACAGAGTTTGGTGTGGTATGGAGCCACATCAGTGCAAATATGTGCAGTACATTTTGTTATTGTAGCCTCTGTATTGGTGTGTTCCTTCACCCTAGATACATAAACAATGTATGACTTCGACATGCAACACCAAATAACACTTCTGTTCAATGTCGCCATCTTGTGGACAAAGAGTTGCACTTCACGCTCTATCAACCTGTGAAGCAAGAACCCTTTTCCTGCACATGACAGTTTTTCAAACATCTTTAATTTTGGCAGATATATCATATAATCATATATATATATATATATATATATATATAAGAGGGTTTATATATATGTATATATATAAAACAAATGATGTTGCACTCCTGTCCTGATTTAGTCTTTTATGCAACCTCTCTGTCAATGATAGAGGTGCAAAAGGGCTGTTTTGTTATAAGGAAAGTCAATAGTCTGGTTTTTGGGTGCAGTGATACTGATTCAGTATCTACATAGATACAAGCCCCTACATGGCATGTACCACTGACAGATAGAAGAAGTGGTTGACATCAAGAAATCCTACCAGTGGCCGGAAAAGGCTGGATTGAAAGATAGCACAGAAGCACTAATCATGGCGGCACAAGAGCAGGCACTTAGTACAAGATCATTAGAGGTGGGGGTCTATCACACTAGACAAGACCCCAGGTGCAGGCTGTACAAAGATGCTCCTGACAGTCCAGCACATAATAGCAGGGTGTAAGATGCAGGCAGGAACAGCGTACATGGGACGCCATAACCAAGTCCCATGTAGGGAAGTCCCACGGTCAGAATGGAAGACAGCTCCTAAATATATATATATATATATATATATACACATATATATACACATACACACATATACATATATACATGTATACACATATATATGCATGTATGTATGTACCTGGTTGAATTCTGAAAGCTTTGCCATTCAGTTTCCCAATGTCAGTGACCTAAATGCCGTGGACATTGATTCGGTTCATTAGGACAGTCAAAAACTAAATTTAAAAAAAAAAGAACATAAATATTTGCTCTGCCTTCTTGTAAACCTGCCTGACTGATTGCCTAATCCGGGAAACACACAGTTTTCACAGAACAAATTGTCTGCAGTTAATAGAAGCATGCCTAAAATAAGAACTCTAAAACAATAAAAGACCTCTGGCTTCATGTATAAAATATGTGTATTTTCTAAAAGAAAGGCCAAACTTGACATGGTTTGTCAGTTTTTGTGTGCAAAGGGTTTCCCTGCCTTTCACCCATGCAGTGCATGCTGGGATGGTTTCCAGCTTTCCATGACTCTGAAGAGGACTGAATTTCATAAAAGTATAATACATAAAAAATACAAAATATATAATTTTACATTTTACAACATGTACTGCAGAAGATGGCAATGACAATGGTTGACTCTTTGTGTTCATTAATTATATGCTAAATATTAATGTATTCATTTATACCGTCAAATTGACTGTATTATTCATTGTATCTATTGTATTTTATATGTATATTGGGAAGTAAAGTATATACTGTATCAAACATGACTGTCTCTTACATGCCAGGTTCACACTCAGATAGGGGGTTGACCCTATCTGAGTGTGAACCTGTTTTATTGGTTATTAGTAATATCTTGCAATCAAGATATTAATCTTGCAGAGATGATAAGAATAAATAAATCATCACTTTTACATATTATTCTGTTTCTGGCTTCTCTCACACTAGAATGTTTAACTTAAGGCAATCTTTGGACTTGATACTGAATCACTATCACTGCACCTGAAAACCAAACCAATGACTTTCTTTATGACAAAACAACCCTTTTGCGCCTGGATAATCATTGACAGAGAGGTTGCATAAAAGACTAAATCGGGACAGGAGTGCAACATAATTTGTCTTATCAAAGGTGCATCATGAGGACAGCTCTCCAGCTGGGCTTCTGTGGCCTGTGTCTAACCTTGGCACTTCTTGGAAAAGGGATGTATGTATATTTTTCCTGCTTCATTCAGGCCTTAACATAGTGAGGATGCTGTTTTCATTCACTAACTATGGATCTTGGTATATAAGTAGTGTAATGTGTGTCATTCAGGGGAGATGAAAATCTTGCTCCAGCACCAGTGAACTGTGCATGGAGCCGCTGGTCAATGTGGAGTCCTTGTGATCCTTGCACAAGAACCAGAGTGAGTCTATTGAATCTGGTCAACGTCAGTGGCAACAAAACCCAGTTCTAAACTTAGTCTAACCAGCGAATCCTACTAGCTAGTATTCAACAAACTGTGCTGCCCTAAAGTCAAAACGCAGTAGAATGTATTCGGTCAAAATGAGTTACGACCAGAATCGAACTGTCTGCATCTGTTTACCAAAAAATATTGTCATACAACACTTGTAATATTTTTTTCTGGCACAAAATACAGGATATAAATCTGTAAGATTTAGATAACACAAGAAAAAAACAAACCGCAGTGACTGCACTCCAGCTAGTTACAACATAGCTTCAGCTAAAGCTAATTAACGTTACTTGGTTAGCTAACGGGAAAAAGTGACTAAATCAATTCACCCGTTTCTTGTGGTTATTATTTTGTAAACATATATTGCATATCCATCCCAAAGCCTGTCAATGTATGTTGATATTAATATGAATAACATATAGAATTTTAAGTATTTTGTTTTAATAAATTTGCAGATATAAATTAAATATACAGTATATCATTGACATATGAGGTTGCATCATATACCATGTAAAAATGTACTATAGATAGTTTTAATATATGTACATGTACAAATTTTACTATAGGTACTTCATATATCTTCAATTACGCAGAGGCATATATTACATTTTGGTATGGGGACAAGAAAGCCAAAGAAGAACACATTGCATTTTCTCTGTGCCCTTAGTGCAAGGTCTGTAAAAAAATAATGAATAGGCCGAAAAATGCATAAAATCAAGATTTGACATCTTCTGTTATACAGTTTGTCATTGAAGCCTCAAATTTCAAACCCTTTTTTCCTCAATTTCACTGTTTCTGTAACTTGCCCTCTTGCCTTTGTAAGGAAGCGTAGTTGCTTAACATAGTATATTATTTGTGATCTTCAGAGGCGGTCTCGAAGTGTGACTGTGTTTGGCCAGTTTGGAGGCGAGCCCTGCCGGGATGCAATTGGGTTTGCAGAGGCCTGTGTAGCAACTAGTGATTGTCACACAACACAGCCCACCAGCTGCTCAGCCTCAGAGTTCCAGTGCGATACAGGTACTTCAGAGTGTTTAAAGTCAGCAACAGTGTCTCTGTTTTTATTGTATTAGACCCCATCGGTTTAACCCCTATCTTTGCAAAGGTTCTTGCATTAAGATGATGTTAAAGTGCAATGGGGACATTGACTGCGAAGATGGATCAGATGAGCAGAACTGTACACTTGGGCGTAGACCGTGTGGTTCTGCATTCCTGGACAATAATGAGCAAGGCAGAACAGCAGGATACGGGTAAGAATGAGTTATTTAAGATCTATTTCAGCTACAGTATACATATATAAAATGGAGGTTTTGTCACAGCAGTGGAGAGCTCTTACATCAGGACAGTGCATTGGCACATTCACGGTGACCATATGTAATAAAAGTCACTGTTAGCAACAAAGCAGCTTCAGAAAACATACTTTCTTATTTTATTTGAGTTGTTTTTAAACAATAAAAAGGAATTATTTTGTACAGACAAAGATAATGAGAAGTATCAATCTTGCAAATGAAAGCAAATGAACACATTTCCCAAAAATTCAAACTATTCCTTTAAATACAATTAATAAAATGTGCACTTGAGTTAATAGGCAAATAAGCATCACATTATATATAGTCTGAAAGTGGCCATTGTGTCAATGCACCAGAATCAACATCTTGGGCGCAGCTCCTCGAATGAACCCCTTCTTCAATGATTACTTCAATGGACAGTGTAATCGAGTGCTGAATCCAGACACTAAGCAGTATGACAGAATTCCCTGGAATGTCGGTAGGCTCAACTATGAGGTAAGCCACAACCATTTTTCCTATTTTATCCTTAGGATGAATTCACTACATGTATGTGATTTTGTGTAAAAAGAAGATGAATATATGTCAGTTCTAAAAAAAAAAATGTCTTCCCTTAACACTTTGGTTCCCTGTCTTCCAGACCCTAGTGAAGGAAACTGTCTCTAGAGAGATCTATGAAAGCACACACAGCCTTGTGAGGGAACTGCTGAGAGAAAATTCCTTTAATCTTGATGCTGGACTTTCCTTCAAATTCACCCCAACTGAGGAGTCCATGTCTAAGCTGACTACAAACCTTGATATTAGTGGAGGATTCGGGATAAAAACAATGATTAAGAAAGTCACCGAAGTCACCAACATTCAGGTAAATGCCAGCCAAGACAAATAGCTCACATTGCAATTTATAAGTCCATAGCAAAAGAAAAAATTGTGTAATCAAGAATGTCTCAAAAATATACACACCATCTGAATCTGTATTAATAATACCTTCTTTTCTGCATACACAGAACAGGAGCTACATGAAGGTGAAGGGCACAGTACAGCTGAGCACCTACAGGATGCGCTCCCGTGACCTCAAAGTAGCTGATGAATTCCTGTCGCATATCCAAAGTTTGCCTTTGGAGTATGAGAAGGGTATTTATTTTGCCTTCATCGAGGACTATGGAACCCACTACACCAGAAACGGGAAGTCCGGCGGTGAATATGAGCTGGTCTATGTTCTCAACCATGATGCCATCAAGACAAGAAGTATGTGTACCGCACCCCAAGTGTCTCATTTTTCAAAATGTCATTTTCTGCTGTGAAACCTCTCCAGTCTTGTGTGTGGACTAAATGAGAAGTTGATAAGAGCTCATCCTCTACACTTTTTGCAGATCTGACGGAGAGAATGGTTCAAGAATGTGTCAAAGTGGGCATCGGAGTGTCTTTAAGTGGTACAGTAGAAGCAAGCGCTAACGTTAAACCTGAATTTTGTGATGACTTCACAAATAAAGAAGAAGGTTTGCCTTTCCTGTTTTTTTCTGATCACAAGCCTGCCAAGTCAATATTTAAAGTATTGCTTTGGATTTTTCAAGTCTTTCTTAATACATTTATGAACATTTAAAGAATTATTAGTAATTTTTCCTCCGCCCACATTTGCCATGAAATTATGCTTTTGTAGCTCAACAACCTTGTAAGAATCTGGCAACAAAATCCAGAGCCCTCGCTCCATGATTCTATAGTTCAGAAACAGGGCTACATGAGGCTTCACCAGTTTGTGTTAGCCAAAATTAGCGTGTGTCTTGTAGATATCTGCAAACATTTGATACATCCTAGCCATGAGTCAGCAAGAAAAAAGCTGTCTGGGGAAACAGAAAGTGATTTGGTACAGAAGACTGTAACTTTGGAGGGTTGTATTAAGATTGACTTGTAAAAATCAGAACATAACCTTTAAAACTTAATCTCTATTTTCTTTGGACATTCATGTATCAATTATGCAAAGTCATTAAAAGTTGGTTTGCTGTTGGTACACAGGTAACACTCATGGAAAAGCAGTGGTGGACCAGGTGATGACATCAGTCAGAGGAGGTACAACACATTCCGCCAGTGGTATGAGGGCTCAATTAAACAAGGAAGGAGTGATGGACCTCCAAACGTATCAGAATTGGGCTCAGACCATCGCTGACGCCCCTGCACTACTTAGTAGTGAGGTAGGAATAATAAACTGGCAAAGTGAAACTGTCATTAGAGGCAACATGCAATGATGACAATGTTTTTTGAAATGCTAGCAGCAAAGCCATGTTGGTCTATCTTTCAGTGGATGAAGTCCACCACTCTGTTCTAGTAGGTAATATCTAAACATTAGCTGGACTGCTACGCATGTCACGCCTCGCGGCTGTGTCGTGTGATCTTGAAATTCGTGCACAGCTTCCAGCAAAAATAGACAGGGAAAAGACCTGTTGATAGTCACATCGACGTCATAACAGCAACAATACACAAAACTGACACCTTCCACTATAGGTGTCTATGTCTTGGCTAAATCTAAATATGTCACAGACATGAAAAATTATGAATATATTTTTTAACAGTTTTAGCAGCTGCATGTGGAGACAGTGGCATTTTAGTGACAATTTGTGTCAAAATTCAATCAGAAATTAATGTATCATGAAAAGAAATCCAAAATTTGAATAGACTGCAAACTCTATATGAAAAGCTACCAGTAGCAGCAACGCACCCACATGCATGTGCGAGTTGCAGCAGGTCAGCGATGCAGCCACCACGCACACACAACGCAGGCAGTCTGTTCCCGACGTAAGTCATGTTGTAGCATATAAATCAAACAAAAGATTGTATGATATTATTTTTCTATTATCAAATTCTGGCAAGTGAACTGATGCACATATTGTGTTCTTTCTGGCAGTCGGAGCCCATCTATATGTTAGTTCCATTGGATATGCCTGATGCTAACACCAGGATATCCAACCTGAGGAAGGCCACAACAGACTACATAGCAGAGTATAATGTGTGCAAGTGTAAGCCTTGTCATAACGGAGGCACTCTTACTCTGGTGGACGGGAAGTGTTTGTGTCTGTGCCCTCTCCTGTATGATGGCTTGGCCTGCGAGAACTTCAAGGGTGATAAAGCTAAATACGGGGGTAAGAGTGAACAGCTGAGTAGAAATTAAATCAAAAAATTCAGTATCCCAACATACCAAGGTCAATCATTTCATGTTTTCTTTTCTGTGTTAATGTGGACAATGTTTTGCAGGTCAAAAACCTATTGTCAATCAGGAAGGTAACTGGTCATGCTGGAGTGCCTGGAACAGCTGTAGTGGAGCGAAACGCACCAGGACACGCCAATGCAACACAGACGGGATCAGTGGAGCTCAGTGCAGAGGCGACACCAACCATGATGAATACTGCTAAGCAGAAAGACGACCACGTAGCAAACATAATCTCTCTTTCTCGCTCCTCTCACTCACACACACACACACACACACACACACACACACACACACACACACGATAAAAATATGTGTGATAAAAACCAAAAAGATTTAAAGTCATCAGAACTTTTTGTATTTACGCTTAGTTAGGAGAACAGTGTCATCTTGAGGTTGGTACTAGACAATACAGCTAATAAAATTCATTTGAAAAATTTTTTAATGGGGTTTTAGTTTATTTTTTGTGATTTAAATGTGGATTTTGAGTAGACAATATCCAGGATCCAGTTTACCTTAGAACACATGACACATTTAAAAGAAACAGCTATAAGAATCAGATGAAGCTTAACATGTTATTAATCTTAATAAAGATGCGGTGCAGTCCTTCACTGTATTCTGTACACTTTGAAGTTTGCATTACATCAACCCCATTCAGGTACGTGTGCCCTTTAAGTTCTTTTCATTTCAGTCTCTGTCGCAACTTATGTGGCTCAATAATGAAATGGTAAATCAATTGAAAAGCAAATTTTCAAAAGAATTTAACTCAAAAACCTTAGTCTTATAAAGCCCAGAGCAACCTGGACAGAACAAAACAAGAATGTGTCCTGTTCAATAAATAATCAGACTAAGGTTTAGATCCAAAAGAACTTTGGCTTTGACTGCAAACAACACTGTGCGTCTTTCAGCAGCTTTAGTTCACTTAAAATAGTGTTGGCTGAAGTATGTATTAATGGGCTAATAACTCATATTTAAAAGCGTGGACACATTCCATCTGGCTGTGCTGCGCAAATGAGAACCAGATGAGCAGAAACCGACAACGGGAGAACTGACGGAGAACAACTGCTGGACGCAGCTCAGAGATTAAGGTGCTGGACATAAACTCAACATAAAGGAGGACATTACATGTGTGCTCTGTTTTCCTCAGGTGCTCCCGAAACCTCTTCCACACATATTATTAGTGAACTTTTGGGAACAGGAGATCAGTTATTCGGAAGACACTTTTCAGCAAACATGGAAGTCAGACTTTTAAAAAAAATAAAAGCAGCAACGTTAGTGCTTATGCAAATCATACAAGTCCAGCGCTACAATCCTCAATATCTTACTTGTTATTTTCTTTTCTTCTCTTTCATTGTGTGAAATACTGGCACCGTGTTTGGCCTCTTCTCATCATCAACGGTAAAATCATTACCATCGGGTTATTGCTTTAATGCGTGTGGATTTGCTCTCACAAAGGGCAAAAAGGCAGGCGGGCGTATTTGCTTAGCTTAACAGCCTTTGATTTCCATGTTTGCTGTTGGATTTAGGCTCAGTCATTTAGCGCCAACACTGCAGGCATGACTGGAGATCCTCGTGCCAGAGAAGGCCTTGTTATACAAACAGCAGTGAGTGACACAGCAGTGAGCTTACTGCTACAGCCTTGCACAATATTTAGGAATGTGCACAGACCTGTAAAAGGAAAATTAGCAAAGATACTGCCTATTTTAAAGAAGAGTTTGTGAATTCTTTGGGATCATTTAATGTAGAAAATTTGAAAAAAAAAAAAATCTACAGGTTTTAATTAAAGAATGAAAAGATACAAATCCCATAATAACTTTTGTAGTAGGCCACTTTGCTCATTTAAATTAATTTAAACAGTTGTTCAACAATGACCGTAATAGTTTTAGTCTTCCTGTTCTGATATTATTTATTACTTCTTCCTCTCTTGGCAACTTTCCTGGGAATATCACCTCCTGTCATCACTTAAATAGAGAGGCGTTAAAGTCCTAAAGATTGTGTGTGTATGGATGTGTGTGTGTGTAGTGGGGGGTGATGAATGCATGCTTGAGAGGTAACCACTGGGGGTGGTGGCCCCTGGCCTTTAGGATGTCAGCATAATGGAGTAAAACTTTGGGACCTTATTGAGCTCCAGGGAGACCCCATTCACTCTGGACAGCAACCCAGCCTCAAGCCATTATCTTACTCTAAAATGTTTTGTTCTTTCTTCAGCCTTCAGCGGAACAGTTAGCACAAAATAATGAACCCCTCTTCATCGATAGACTGCCCAATTGTCTTTTTACTAATATTTGCTCACGCTAAAAAACTAAAGAACGAGTCAAGAATCAAAGCTTAAATGAGGACTTTCAAGACCTGCTCAAGAAACGTATGATGCTGGCATATAACAGGTTATATTTCCAACACACTCCCTCACACACTCACCACATTTGACATTTTAGACATATTCAGTGTAAATTTTTAACCATTTTCAATTAGAAAATTTTGAATCTCATAAATTGTACCAAAAACATTTTTATCTTCTACATGCTTAGTAGAACTTACATCTTGTAGTAAATATTTCTGGCTTACAAACATCTTAAAAAACATATTTTTGGTACTTTAATCAAGCAAAGTAAAGGAAATATATGTTGTTATATGTTGGAGAAAATGCAGTTCATTGTACTTCGTAGAAACCAAAGGAATTCTTCACTTTTAAGCTTGTTTCTCACGGGCTGTGGAGGAAACTGAGTTCTACGTTTGCTTTCAAAATGCAACCCATTGTTGTCCCATCTCATAAACATATAGTCCCTGCTTTCAGTGAGGAAGAGGTAAGGGATATTTTTTTTTTAACAAAAGCCCTTGGAAGGGTGTGAAAGGAGCCCCCTTCCACTCCTAAACGCCTGGTCACAGTTGGAGCTGCCCCCTCCCCACTTCCCTGGGTCACTAAAGGCATTGAAGTTTTAGAGGGCTGCTACGGCAGATTACTCCACACAGCTGTCCCAGCACCGTGGAAATGAAGTTATGCCCCTTGTCAGCTATGTTATGTGCCTCCCCTCCCTCCTCCTCCTCCTCCTCCTCCTCTCTCACTCCTTGAAAACTTTGCACCACTGCTCTTTGGCTGGGCTGCAGGAGGGGAACAGGGGAGGCAACTAAAGGACTATTCCCCTCCAGCCACTGCAGACAGAGAAAACCTGAATCTGATTGGCTGATTAAATATTCCCTCTTTGCATCATTATTCAGAGCGGCTTGAAACCCCTGACATTCAGCCCAGCACAGCCCTTCTCCTAAACCAGACCCATCCCCCATTAACCCTCAATCATAAATCAACCCCTCCTCCACCTTTCCCACCTCACTAAAGCCCAGGGTGCTGCCCTCTCCACGTCCAACCCCTAACCTCTACTTATTGTGACACTCCTGGTTTATTCACTTTGCTTTTGCTTAATGTTGTTTATGTTTGGTCAAAATTGAACTGCAACTTAAATCTATCTTTGTGTTAATTTTAAAGCCAAACTAGTCTATGTGAAATAATGAATAATGCAATCCTTTAGAAAAGAAAAGCTGGGGCGTCGAGTAGCTCAGTTGGATGAACATCCGCCCCATGTGTAGAGGCTACAGTCCTCGCTGCAGTTGGCCCCGGTTCGAGTCCCGCATCGGCCCTTGGCTACATGTCATTCCCCCTCTCTCTGCCTCCCCATTTCCTGTCTCTCTCTACTGCACTATCAATAAAGGCACAAAAAGCCTGAAGAAAAAAAAAAAAAAAAAAACTGAATTCACATGCAATAAAACGCACCCTAACTGAATTCAATACACTCAGAAGTTTTGCTGCTGCAGCCTTACTTGGTCTGGTATGACCAGCAGCTTGTTGGCTTTGGATATTGCTGCCAGTTTGCTGACTGTATGATACAAGCAATAAGTGACTCAAGGGAATCTTGGAAAATGAAGAGAAGTTCAGTATTATTGTGTAACAAACAAACAATTATTTTTATTATCAAATATTGTCTCTATTTTCTTTGGATTAGTGGATCAATCGTTCAGTCAAAAAAATGCCCATCACAAGTTACAACTGCCTGTCCAAAACTTAAACAGAAAGATCCGCACATTTGAGAGGATGGGATCAGCAGATGATTGATAATTGTGCTTAATAAATTACTCAAACAAATAATAAAGCATTTGGAATAAGTGCGGCAATAAGAAATCTAAAGCTAAGATCTTATGTTATAACATCTGGATTATTTATTCCATTATTACTCTGTGTGAAAGTAAATTTTGTGGCGATATGACGAGGTGTCTCCCTCAGCTATGTGCCAGTTTCTGCTTGTTCCATATGTAAATCTTACTGTAACCCTCTTTCACTGTTTCAACCGATTTACTGCATCTCTTGTTGGGTTCACATGAGGCGGACATGAGCATGACCGAATTAGAAGCAGTTCTCTTAAGTCCAGGACTGGGAGTTTCTAAATAGGCTCAACAGGAAAAAGTCAGCAGTGGCTGAGCTGTTTTAAAAACTGTTTTGAAAAGTTCCACTGGGACTTCAAGAGGAAGGGAGTTATTTCATTATCATTGATGCCAGTGGAGCCGAGGAACGGCGTCTGACATCAAACCCAGACAATTTCACCTTCCAAACATTTATATTGAAAATTTTGATGGTTATTCAGTATGTTGGCTGAAAGATGTTGTGTGCACATTACACCAGCAGCCAGTTACCCATAAAAAAAACAAAAACAATATGAGAACATCAAAGCTCTGATATTGTCTATAAAATAAAGCTAAAGTCAAGCTGCCTGTTTGCTTTTCCTTAGTGTAACCTAGAGGACGAAGGATTTGGGGCGGGGCATGGGGGGGAAGAGGTTGGCCAAGCAACAGTTTGAGTTATGATGAGGCAATTTTAATGAGGTTCTGCTCCCTGCACCAAAAGCCCCAGTTGACTCTTTTCTGCTTCAGCATGGGAAAAAAACACACACAACATTCCTATTTTCCTCTGGTGCCAAAAGTTAATTGAAAACATTTCAGGGCAAAGTATGGTCTGGGCCCCCCATATGACTCTCATCCCTTCATTATCCTCAACAATAATAAAAAGGCATTACAATTATTAATGGCTGGAGCAGAGGCCTGCTTTCTTAAAGAGACAGTGACAGGCTTTGGCTTCTCATAACAAAAGCCCCAGAAACTGCCTTCACCACATCACTTTGTTGGTATTTTTTTTTTTAACAATTGCTGCCATTGTAGGATTTATTATTTGGGTCATTCTTTTAGAGTCTAATGATAGCTTATGTTTTCCAGAGTGAAGTCGTTAATAAAGTCGAAAGCCGCAGAGGGAAGATAGCGACGACAACTAAACATCTAATTGTATGAGAACAAACTGTTGCACACATGGAAGCTGAACTGTGGACGCAATAAACCTGAACTTTCTCACATAACTCCTCTGTCTTCATCGGGGAGAGCTGTCTCCTCACGCTCCCCCCACTCCCTGAAAAGGGTGACAGAGGAACAGTGTGAATGAAGTGCCCCCACATTGTGCCGCCGCACCATTGTGTATTTTGCATCTCCATAATGGAGGTGCCACTCGACTTCTCTTCCAATCAATGGGCTGGAGGGCCCATCTCTTCTGCTTGAAAAGCAACATGGCGGCCATCAATGGTTTCAAGAGCCATTATCACAAGTGAATGAGGGGACACTGGCTTTTCTTTAGTAAGTATAGAGGGGCTGACTGACTCACAACATGTAAACAGACACATGTACCCTGCAGCATCACTGCTATCACTGATTACAAATTACACAGAGGATATAGAAATACTCAAATTTGATTTGTCTTTGACGTTTAAAAAAAAAAACAATAAACTATATGCATGTGTCAGTAAATTTTTCATAGTAACCACACACTCTCACCACTACTCAAGGCATGTATTGCTTGTGTGACTAACTGTACTGATTATAAACAGTTATGTTGAACCTACTGAGCCTTTAATCTGGTGATTTATAAAAGTGAAGGTGGGTAACACTGGCTTTTAATTGTCCTGAGGCCTATAACCTGTTCTGAGAAGGAATGACACTCAGTTAATTAAATACCAAGAATACCAGAGGAACTGTGACTCAAAGAGTCACTGTAGCTAAGGACTCTTACCAGATGTTTTACAGGCACAGTGACAAACGGTAGAAAAATAAGTAAGGCAATGCAAAAATGTTAAAAACTTCCCTGAGGTTCTGGGATTACTGTAGTTTCAATGACACCTGGTAAATAATTAGCAGTTTTTTTCTTTTAACACATCAAAGACAGGCCTTGTACTCCTTAATTCAACAAGTGGAAAAAAAACACACATCAAGACAGACTGAAGCCCAAAGAAAAATAATTTTAAAACTCTTATTTATTCAATGTGCATGTACATTCAGGGGAGTGTGTTGATAAGGCGTCTTTTCTCTCTCACAGCGTGTCTTTGTGACGATTTCTAACAAACATGGGGTGAAGAGAAAGAAACTGACCGAACGCTTCTTGGCTCCATTTGTTCTGCACATCCCCAACAGGAGGAGGAGGAGGAGGAAGAGGAGGAAGAGGAGGAGCTCACCTTCCTCTCATCTGTTTACAACACTTTATACCTTATGCAAACAACCATGTTTTCAAGGTCAAGTGTGTCACTCTTTCAGATGCACCATCTGCCCTGGGTTTTAGACACGTTGTAGTGGCTTACATCAACTTTGGTTTTTAATGAAGGGGTTGTGGTGAAAATCTCTGTAGGCTACATCTGGTAAAAAAAAAACAAACAAAAAAAAAAACGCTCTGGATTCACAGCCTGCCTCTGATATGGTCACATAATGGTCAATAAAACCAACATAAAGACTTTTAGGCACTTTTTTTTTTACACAAAACATTTTCCCTCCCTCTGTGGTCGTGAAGCAGTAAAAGAGTCAGTGGGACTCAGCTATTCCTCTACAGTGCAAATCTCTCATAAACAAGTATTTCATACAATATACTGTACAATTTACTCTTATACAGACAACATACAAAAATAGGCTCCTTCAACATTTATCAGGTGACTAATAATGATAACTGACATATAACTAATAGGCTACATGTGCTATAACCTACTTGATCTGATCCACAGTCAACTGTTATTTGCATGCTTCTGACATGAGCCATTAACAAACAGCAAATGCCCTGAAATATATGAATGTGTGCAGAAAGTTTAGGTAGGATTTAATAAACCAAAGTGTTAGTTTAATGAAAAGCAGAAGGACTCTAGAGAGGTGAGTTGATTTGTGGTGTTGCTTCACTATGACTTTAGCTGTCCTGGATGGCAGCAGCTTTTCAGATAAATTTGCTTAAAACCAAAATGGTGGTCAGAACATTTAGCACAGTCTGACAGGGTGTGGAGTCACTTGAGTTTTCCACATATTGATAATCCTCCTGGTCAATGTAATCGTCCTCAGAGTCCTCCTCGGAGTCTGAAAACCCGCTTCCCGCGAACCTGTCAGTGGAATCGGAGCAGAAAGTTTTCATGCTGACTTTGATGTACTCGCATATGTTCCTCTCCGTGCCATCGCACACACAAGTGTCTAGCTGTTGCGCTTTCGGTATGGAGCGCATGTTGGCTATCACCCTGCGGCACCCATCCGAGCACCTTTCCCCTCCGAAAAGTTTTCGGCAGTGAAATAAATAATCCCTCATGGCAGAGCTGCAAGACAGGTCCTTCTCACACTGCTCTCGGGCCTCCGTGCAGCCCATGGTGCTGGTCCGCGGGAGGCACGGCTCGATGGCTTGTTTGGTGCTCCTGCAGACCGAGTCAAGGGCGCAGTCGCAGTCCTCCAGAGCCGGGCCGCTCTGGGTCATATTGAGCTGAATCAGAGAGGATATGCAGTGACTGGGACACTTCTTGCGTTCCCCACTGATGACAGACGCACAGGCATAAAGGTACTGATCATAAGCGTAATGGCACTCCGGCTCTCCATGGCACTTGAGGATGGCTTTCCAGCAGACCAGCCGACGGCTGTGGTTAGGAGATCCGACACAGAGACCGATGATTAGGATGAATACACTGCATATCAAAACCGCTGTCCGCTCCATCAATATGGCACGACTTGCCATTTCCAGGAAGAATGAATCTTAAAAATGCTTAACTTCATATGGGCTTCTGTAGTAATTCCACCAGGATGTGTCAAAACTGCGTTACTCCTTGATGGTTTCATATCATGTCACAGCTGGTGACTTGAAGTCACTGAGGCGCCACAAAGTGAGCAACAGCTCATCGGGGATGGTCGTAAACAGCCAGTCATGTCAAGATCTGACAAGTTCCAGCGCTGCAACAGTTTTTTTTTTTTTTTTTTTTGCCAATCCCAGTTCGTTTTAGAGGCTTCACGTGTTTCTTTTTCTCCTTTACAAGACTACCCACAAAGTTTGACCAACTTTAAAAAGTCCACAAAAAGATGTAAAGACTAATTTCCTCAAACTCTTCCAAAAGTATATCACAATATCCGTGTTCCTAAAGTCACTCATCCGCTTCCAGTCCCTGCCCGCATCCACTCTCACTGCAGCCGCTTTGTAGTGAGGGCTGAGTAGTGATGGGCTGATTAGGTTTCTGCAACAGCCTCATCCCATTGGTCCGATCAACTGTTGTGATTCTCTCGTCACACGCGGGCAGTGACGTCGGCTACTGTTTTAAACGGAGGTAAAAAAAAACAAATAAAAACGGAAACTTTCTGCAACAGTGTGAAAAAGACTTTTTTAATTTCAACTAGGTTTGTTTACATTGTGTTTTATGAGATGAAACGTTACAGTTACTTTTACTATAACTATTCTGCTATTAATGGAGGTTAGCTGTTTTTCATTGCCCAAAAGTGAGTGGGTGTGTGGGTGGATACAAGGATTAAGAGATCTTGAACCATTAAATTAAATCAAAAGCTCTAAAATTCTGAAATTTTGTAATTTAAAAAAAAAAATAGCCTAAATCATGTATGAGCTTAAAAACAAGTGGGAGGAAATCAATATGATTTAAGAGGAATATGCGTGATGTTACTTTTTGACTCAATATAGAAAATATTAGCTCCAGCACTTTTTGGTCTTTGTGCTATTTTCCTTTTATCCTAATTTTTTTGGGGGTAGTTAGACAGTTAAGTTAAAATTTGGATTTACAATTTACAGTGAGGCACAGTTTCTTTGGAAATCTCTAGGTTTGTCGTTGTCTCCCCGCAGGGAGAAACGACAGCTGTTATAACACATGCAGAGCTCCCGTCTTACACTTCTCCCCCATGAAACATAACAAGCCCTGAGAGCATAGCTACACTGCAGCATACGCGTGAACACCGCTCAGACACATTTGCACACACCAATAAAGACATGACAGCTTAAAGGTTTAAGAACTATGATTTCCAGATATGGAGCTGGGAAAGCACCAGAGGCCTTCACACAAGAAATGTTAAAGAAAAAACACAATTGGTGTTTTGTTTTTTTACTGCCCATTTTGTTCAAGTGTAAGCAAGCTGCAGCGCTTCACCTTTTGGTGCAGGGTATTTCCTATTTCCTTACAATAACACTTAAGAAGAAAACACAGTGTGAAGAGGGATAACAACTGCAGCCACACACAATGTAAACAAACATGAAGCGTGAAGCCACTAGAAATGACGATAGAGTGGATGAGTCGGGGCCTCGAGGCCAACACAACAAAGTATAGGAGAGAAAATCGCTCAGTCACTCTCTGTTCTTCTGACCCCGTCACATCACCGCACTATATGACCACAGAGATCTGGCAGCTCTCAGGGGACCCTCAGACCCCTGATTCCAATTAGAGAGATTAGAGAGGAGTCAAGACAAGTGCAGAGTTTCTTAGCCAAACAACCCAAACGCCCCCCTACCCCCTCCCTCCATCTCATCCAGCTGGCATACCAGAGCAACAGGCTGACTGCAGACTCAATTTAGAGCAACATCAAAGTGGAGGTTAGAGAAAGCCCAAATGGTGAACTGGTCAAGGGTCTCCATTAACTACAAAGAGGCTGACATCAGCCCAGACCGCAAAGACGACATTTAACAGAGATAGATATGAATATGGAGAATGCAATTCTACATGTGTTATACTTTTGCTCAAAGTTTAGGTATCACAAGGCTCGAACAAAGTTTTCTCTTCAATAACGGAGAACAAACTAAAGAACACACCCTGTCTACACTTAAATTTCCCTTTTAAGAGGGACTCCATAATGCATAGCAGAACCAAAATCCCATCAGTGTTGGATGTCTGCCAGATAAGAACAACGGCCAGATTCAGTGGAGCCAGCAGCTCTTATGATGGAGCAGGCAGCTGCTCTCCCCCTAACTGTACCTCTTAAATTACTCTAATACATCACTTACACTCTTTACTTTTACAGCCTACCAAACTCCTCAGATTGTACTTGGGGTAAATATAAGGCCAGTTTTCTTTACAATCTTGTCCTCCATTTATTTCAAACCAGTATCTCCAGATATGCGTCCTGTGTACATGCGGTTGTTCATGGCGACTTGCATATAATAGGGTTTCCAGAATTGGAATGCGGTTCCCGAGAGCAGATTTGTAAATACTCATGCAGAGACAGACATGCTCTTCAGTTTGTCTCCACTGCTGTCAGAAGTCATTACACACAAGCTGCACTGCCAGAACAATTCACTGAACTTTGTATTCAAGTGCTTCCAAGCCCAGAGAGAGACAGAGAGAGACAGAGAGAGAGAGAGAGAGAGAGAGAGAGGAGAAGGGGGAGGGAGAAAAAGGAGTCAATATTAAAAAGCTGCCAAGTGTTTTTCTGCCTACATTTTTCATTTTTCTGTGGCTCATGGAAACTTCTCAGATGTCTGTCATAGATATATCCACTTTTTTTTCCTTCTTCATTCTTTTCACATGAAAGACAGAGAATCCATTTGCCTTTAGTGAAAACAAGAATAAAAACTTAAAACTTTTTGTTGGTTTAGTCACGTCATAACTATTCAGTTTATGAGCTGTTATGCATCAATAAGTTAACAACACAGCACTACAGTACTTTGGTTTTCTGGTATGCAGCTAAAAGATTAGACAGGCGGGATCAAATCACCTGGATCAAAGTGATTTCTAGTCGTGCTGGCAGAGTAATGTTGGTTGTTAAGTCAACAACTATACGGATTTCCACAACATTGTATACAGACATTCATGATCTCCAGAGGATGAACCTTTAATTGCCATGATGATCTGCTGGTTTTTCTTCTAATGCCCCTGTGAGGTTGACATTTTTGGTTTTTAGTGAATTACAACAAGAACTATTAAATAGATTGCCGTTAAGTTTTGGTACAGATATCCATGATGCGTAGAAGATAAACCCTGATGACTTTGGTGATCTCCTGGTTTTTAGTCTCATTGCCACCATGAACCTTGTGTTTCCATCACTTGGACAAATACCTGCAAAATTGTATTTAGTTAGTGCAGATTAGCTATTGTTAGCAAGCTAGCATACCAGTCACCAAGATGGTGAACATAGTAAACACAGACATCAGCATGTTTGTATTGTCATTATGACTATGTTAGCATGCTGATTAGCATTTAGCACAGCCTCACAGAGCTGCTAGCATGGCTGTGGACTGTGGATGCTGTTTCTGTTCTGACCAGCATCAGCTTTTCTCCCTGTGCTGTCCATACCTCATGCCTTTATCACACCAGAGATGTTTTAGGATGGTACCACATGTTCGGAGACCAAGTTCATCCCTCCGGGGGAGGCCACTCACCACCGCAGGAAAAAGGATTTGACTTTGAACTCACAGAGGAGAACGGAGCTACAAGTTCAAACATGGGTCGCTCTGGCTGTAAATTAGCCAAGAGTACTCAGAAAGTTTTAATCGTCAAAGCCAAACGTTTGGCACATGCTATGAGGTTGTGAGGTTGAACAGATAGACAATTGTTTAGTTGTACTGGTTTCCCCATCAGCAAGACTTTCAGATTCCTTTGGCTTGCTTCATGGAACAGATTAACACCACGACAGGGAGAAAAGATGGATAACGTTACAAAAAGATTTGTGTTCTGGTAGTTATTGTTTCACGCAAGGATTTTGTAGGAAAGCAGATGGGGCTGTTAAAAAGATTGGAACAGAGAGTTTGAATCCAGACGGAGAGGTAGACGCTGGTTTTGCCATCACAAAGGAGGGTAATTGATAGTGGGAGCTAGTAGTAGATTAATTACACCTGCAGTAAAATCTGGGTTACAAGGGCCATAACGAGCAATGGAAATCTCCCAGGGTTGCTGTGGCCAGCAGTATAGAGGTACTCTGTGACGCTGGTCAGGTAATGATAAGATAACAGAGCCATTTCTCTACAGTGCAAAGAGGGGAGGATAATAAAGCCACACAAATTTTGAGGTTATCTGTGTCTAAAGAAGGTCTGTAGCTGTTACAGGGGAAAAAAAAGAGACTCTGGAGCAGACGAGAGTTTTAGTTTTTGTTTGAAATGTGACCTCTCCTCTCCAAACTGTGATCATGTATCTCTCTGAAAGGAATTAGCTGCTCAGGGACAGATATGCCACCACAATCTCAGCACAGGGAAGCCATTGTTCACTAGATCAAGGGTTTAACAAGACACTTGAAAGGAAGAAAAATGACTAGCCAGCATCCACATAACAGCATCTAGAGAGAAAGAAGGAAGAATTTATACAGTTTTGGTACAGAATAATCAAATGAGATATAGTGAGCTTAAGTTGGATCAAGAGGTGGATTTTTGTTACCTTCAGACAGAGCCAAACTAGGTGTTTCCCCCTTTTTGAAGTCTTTGTGCTAAACTAGGCTAACTGGCTGCTAGCTTTTGATTTAATGGACAAATATGAGTGGTACTGAAATTCTCATTTAACTCTCCACCAAAAAGTGAATAAGCATATTCCTGTCAAACTATTCCTTTAAGCCCTCAAGAAACAAACACAGAGAGAGGTTATCATTTTTAAGAGATATCTGAGATACTTCAGTAATAGCTAGAAGGGATTATTGTGGGATTAATACTCTGGATGTGCGTACACACATAGTGCAGTCCCAAAGTAAAGTTGGAGAAACAGGATACAGGACTGCCAGTTTTCACATTTCCACATTCCACATTCTGTAACTTGGTCTGTCTGGCATCCTGCCGATACGGGGCACAGCTTGAGCTCACTCTTTAAAGCGTATAGCTGCCGTTTCAGGAGACAGAAAATGAGACGCGACCCACGGCTTCCCTTACATTTGCCTGGGTAATCACAATGTTTGAGCAGAGTTGCCTTTCTGGCAGCCTCGGGAGTTTTCTTAGACCTTCAGACAAGACACAGGAAACGTGTGTGGGCTGATCTATGACATTTTTGGTGAGTGTCAACAGTTGCTGATGCTCAACCCCGGGTGAAGGTGTATCTCTTCCTAGCTCTGCAGAAATGCTGCTCAAGGTGCACAATGGGCTTCGTGCAAGAACATTTTTATATTCTTGCCCTTGAATTCTTTTACTTTTTTCTTGTTAAGCCACTGAAAAAGTGTGTTGTCCCCTTTCTGTTCATACGAACAGACAGGTCTGGACCATTCGTGAATTT